TGCGCGGCACTGACCCCCCTCCTCCTCCGCCGCCTTTGCAAACAGCGCCGGCCCGAAACGGCGTCCAAGTGAGTCCCGAATTGCGTGAAGTGCAGATTGTATTTCGGGTCTCGCCACGCCCCCCCCGCCGCCAAAGGCCACCTCTTTGCAATGAAAGTAAGCCTGCCAGAATATACAGGAAACCAACACCCTGTAGTCCTCAGTCCTCAGCCTTGGAGCTTACGAATCTGAAGGGCCCATGCTCCAAGTGTTCCGATTTTCCAACGTTCCCGGCGCGCCTCCCGCGGCTCCCTGGCGCTTTCCGCAGGACTTGTTTCGGAGCCCGAGAGGACCCCGAGACAGGCACGGTGGCGGGATGGGCCGAAGGCCGGCAGACACACGAGGGGGCGACGACACGTGCACCGTTCGTGCACCTCTGGGCCCAAGTGGGGCCCCTTTGGAGTCACAAAGAGGCGCGAAAGGTGAAGGATGAGACGGAGGAGGAGGAGGAGGAGGAGGAGGAGGAGGAGGAGGGCACACAAATCGCAGAAGATACAGATCTCAGGGTTCCCTGTATTTTTCCATATGTTCTGGATTTTCGTCTTCCCCTACGCGTCCCACATGTTATGTATTCTTGCTGATCGGCGGTTATCTGTGTCTGTATGTTTTTCCTCCTGACAGGAAGTAACTACAATGACCACAGCTGGGCGAAGAATAACAACGGGTCCTGCGCAAGATGGCATAACGACCTTACGCGGCGGCTTATGGGCCGCCCGCGCGGCACGCTACATTGGAAACGAAGGCGCTCACACGCCATCTTGCGCAGGCAGTTTACGCGCAAATGTCCGCGCAGCCGACCTTGTTTGCATCCGTCGCTCGGCTGGGAGGTCTTCATAAAAACGACTAAAAACTGTTAACCCCGACGGCTTGGGGCCACTGTCACGGACCCAACCACATGAATTGAATTCAATATTCAGCCAGATCAAGCGGGATTGAGCGGAAGCATGCTGGATTAGGCCCGTCTTCGACCACGGATATAGCAACGTTGATGCTGAATCGTGCCTCCCAGGAATTGCACCCTAACTGCCTCCCGGGGCGCAGTGAGGGCTCTGCGGCCAAACGCAGCGGCAACCAAAAAGCAACTCACGCTGTACGGATCGCGGATGTAGAGCGCCCCGACGGGAGAGAGCGAGAGAGGCTTGATCTCCGTGAGCCGAGGAACGGGCATCGAGGAGCGCTGAGGCTGAGGCTGGATGAAAGGGGCAATGAAGCCTCCACCACTGGTGGAACACGTTGTGGACTATGCTCCATCTGGCGTTGCATTGAGCCGTGCGCCTTCGCGTGCTTCCTTGTGCTAAGTCCAGCCTTGCACCGTAGAGACACTGCTTTCAAAGATACGCGGGGTTGCCACTGCTTGCCAACATCCTCGGACCGACTAAGGCAGTGCTTGGACATTCCAGAAGTGCTGCTTCACCCCACCTGGATGTACGTATGCATCATGTCCTCGGGCGTCCCTGTTGGTAAAAGTGGCTGAACGCGACGAGGGGACGCCGTTGTGCTATCAATGCTTGAGCTGGGAAGCTGACTTCTGCAGTCGCATGGATTGTTCATGTCCAGTCTGATCTCTGTAATGGCGCGACAGTTCACGCACGTATACGTATTCCAATAAAAAAGAATCGCGACCGAACACGCGCAATCCAGAAATGGGAAGCGACCACAGACACATAGGATACATGTCATGACTGTAAGGCTGTTGCGACTTGTGAAGGTATGCGTGTGCAGATGCATGCTTGTACGGATGCGCCCAATACTGGTAAGGAAATGGTTCACTGCCGTTCTACCTGGTGGGGCACCTGTTCTTTTTCTCAGGGCCCCCGCCCTCCTAGCAACCAGCGCTCAACTGCGTGCATCACCACCCATGCTGTCCACAGCGCACCCAAAAATGGCCAAGACAGCTTCGAAAACGGCTCCCGAAGGCCGAGAGCGTGGTAATACTTCCCAGCATTGCCTTGAGGGGGGCCCAACAGCCTGAACATGCGGCCAAGGAGCCGCGGGGAACGCCAAAGCAGCTCCAAGGCGCGTCCGAAAGACCCCCAAGAGGCCAAGCCAGCTGCAACAACCGGGTACCGCTGATGGATTTGCCATTCACCCTGTCGCGCCCCACGAGGCCGCAAGACGCCCCTCTATGGGAGCCCTTCGAGAGGCCCATGTACCCCACAAGACGGCTGAAAGACGGCGCAGGGCATCGTCCAAGACGACCCCTCGAGACGGCCATAGACTGCCCCAACGATGGCTCCGATACTGCCGAAGACCGCCCAACTACACAGCCCCAGCATCTTCCTGAAGTGCTCCAGGATTGCAGACAACCCCCGAGACAACCACAGGAGGCGCCCAAGAGGCCTCAAGTGGCGCCCAAGAGGCCTCAAGTCCCTGGGTGCCCTCGAGATTCAAGAGGCCATCTGGCAAGCTCCTGGTAAACTCAAATCCCAGAAACGCATGTCACTTCTGTACGGTTTGGTCTTTCCTTCGAGCTCGCCCCAAGAGGCAGCCAAGGACCCCAAGACTAAGTCCCAATAAACAGCCGTCAAGACCGCCCCAGAGACGGCTGCGTAGCGGCCGAAGACCGCACCAAGATGGCCCCAAGAAGCCCACGACACCAAAGATGCCGTCAAGAGGCCATCTGGCAAGCCCCGGGGAAGCCAGGACCACTGAAGCAGGCGGTTTTGCAGTGTACTTGGGCTATCACCCGTCTCTGGGGCACAACCTAACGCGGATTATGGATCGCGCTAGGTCCACGGGTCGGGGAAAATGGCACCCGAACAATTTTGATATGCCAATGTCGCCTGGTTTCGACGACGGAGGGCAACAATGCTGAACGGAAGCGGGAGCCGTCGCTACTCCGCGCGCATTGCTCCATGTCTGCGCTTCCGTAGCGCCGTTCGTCCGAAGAGGCCGCAGGAGGCTCGAAGACTCCCACGAGCGGCCCCCCGACGAGGTCGAGGTCGAGGTCGAGGTCATGGTCGTGGTCGTCGTCGTAGAAACGGGCCCCAACGCGGCCCAGGACCGACCCGACGTGCCCCCGCCCCAACGACGACCGAAGACTGGCCCGAGGCAGCCCCAGGACGTCCGCCGCACGACCCCCATCAGGCCCTCCCAGACTGCCCACCCTCAGATCCGACGTTACGGCAAAAATCGGCTACACGCAAGATTGACCCTAGGCAAGAGTGACCTTTCCTGCGCAGGCCGAAGGGGCGCAAGGCGGCCAAAGGCAAGCGCGCAATCAGCTGTTATCGCATCGCGCTCAGCGATCGGAAGGGACCCCGATGAGCCCGCACCAAAGGTCACTCTGGCGAAGGGTCAATCTTATAAGTGTATGCGATTTCTGCTCCGCTTTTCGAGCCGGATCGATCTGTGAGGGTCCCCAGGCCCGGAACGGGGCAAGATTGCCCGTTGCGGAAAAGTTGCGACGCCAGGATCTCAATGCATAAGAGTCGCCTGGGCGGCAGGGAGGCCCCCCGAGACGGCAGGGGAACCCTGGCAGACACACCACAGGACCAAAGACGCTGCGCAAGAGAGCCCTGTGGCAAGCTCTCGGGAGGCCCGGGGCCTTCGACGCCAGTTGTTACGGCCCTCGACGCCAGCGGTTACGCGCCCTCATCAAGAAACCAATTGTCAGACATTAAGGTCTGAGACACCAGGTGTCACATGTTTCGGGGATGGACAGAACCCCCTTCAGCAAAACGTGGTTTACTGAGAACGGCCTCGGGCCTAAACCTGGCGGGCGCGAGCCTGGAAAATGACGGCCGCGGCGCCCTCTCGAGAACCGAAAACGGACAATTCACTCATCGACGTGTCAGAATGGGGGTTCTGTCCACCCCCGAATGTTACGGCCTACGATCAGGAGCTCTTGCTCCGCATGTCGCCGGCGGACGGCCCTGCCGACACGGTGTGCCTTGCAGGCGGCTGGCGTGCCGCTCCGCTCCACGGGGGGCCGGGCGGCGCTGGAGACACGGCTGCTTGAGCACGAGGATGCGCTTGCCGTGCCGCGCCGTAGGGCAGCAGTCCGAGCCCGCGGCGCGACAGCCTGAGCAGAAGTTCCGGACCGTACGTTTTGAGGAAGCGTCCTGCCTCACGAGGCGGCCCTCTGGAGCCTGGAGGCCAGCGGCAGACCACTTTACGATCGCCTGCTGCTGCTTTCTCGAGCCTGCGGGAGAGCGCGTCAGATGTAACGGCCCTCCGAAATCCAGGGGACGAGAGCTGTTAATGGTTACGGCCTTCGTTTTGACCAGCGCACGAGCAGCCCACCAGCAGCCATCATGGAAAAACATGGTCGCCGAGAATCGCAAGATAACAAAAAGCCCTGGACCGAGGCCGCCGTCGAGAATCTTCATGGAGTACCATAGGGCCACAGAGGAAGCCTAACGCCGAGCACTTCTAGACGTGCCTCCGGAAGATCGCCAGGAGTGCTGCACTGGCACGATGGCTGGCCTCGCCGCGGACACCTGGCCATCTTCGTGGAAGCCAGCTGAACGTGCGTGCGCGTGCGGGTATGCACGCACGTGAGAGAGACAGAACGCCATGCGCGCCTGTCTACGTGCCTATGCGTGCATTTGTGGGGGACGCGTCTGTGGGCATGCTCGTGTGCTCCCCCGCGCGCGCGTGCGGGCGCGCGTGCGTGCCCTCGTGTGGCCTCCTCCGAAAGCTGGGAGCCGAGGGCCCGAGGGCGCGAGAGAGAGAGAAGCCGGAGCGCCCGACACGGGGCGCCAAATGTCCGGCTCCGCCGACCGACCGCCATGCCCGAACGAAAAAAAAGCCCCGGAGGGGGGCCGGAAGAGAAAGGCCCCGGAGGGGGCCGAAGGAGAAAAGCCCCAGACGGGAGTGACGGGGGGGCAACGCTCAGGTCGGGCACGTCCTCCTACAGGCAGATCGTTTTAGGAGGGAACATAGACAATGCCTACAAGACTAGTCGAAAAGAGTCCCAAACAATCATACAAAAATCGTCCCCAAATAACGTTTTGACAAGTTTTGAATCTTCCCCCTGTAGAGGGACATGCCCGACTGAAGGCAACGCTCGGAGCACCGGCCAGGCCCGCCTGCCAGGTACAGGACGAAGAAGGGCGTCAGGAAAAGGGGGGTCCGCGAGGCAGCTGGGGATCCCAAAACCGTGTGGTGACAGACCGTGCGGTGACCTCGGGACCCCAAGAGACCTCACCGTATGGCCCGCCACCGCGAGGTCCTGGGACCCTGGAGGCCCCTGCCGCCCAAGACACCCTCGGAGCGGGGCTCGAGTCTCAAAGCCGTGCGGCGACGCCGAATCCCCGCCGACTCACCACACGGTGTGGTCACGACCCCGTTTGTGGGGGTCCAAGAGTCGGCTCGCCCAGCCGATCTTCCCGCCGTCCGCCCCCTGGCGTCGGAGAGGCGGCCATGCATCTCCAGGAGTGGGCCTCGCGGCGGAGCCGAGACCAGCTGCGCGCGGCAGACCTCGCGGCCCCCACTCTCGGGGGCGGCCAGAGGAGGGGGGCGCCCATGGAGGGGGGGGGGCGCAAAGCGTGGCCCGCGGCACGTGTGCGGCCCAAGGGGGGGGGCCGGAGACGTGTTGAAGTAAGAAGAGGCGCCACGAAATCTGGGGAGATGTCATGGCCCACGCCATGATATCCCCCCCCCCAGTCCTCACCCCCCTCTGCCGCCCCCGACAGCTGCACGCGGCAGATTGCGCAACCCCCACTTTCCCTACTCGAAATCCCTAAAGAATCGCCCCCCGGGCCTGGTTTTTTGGGGAATCTTTTTTGGAAGCGGGGGGGTCCGGTTTATTAGGCCAGTTTAGATAAACCGAAGACGAGGGGGGTCCGAAGACGAGGGGGGCCGGAACATGAAGGCCCCCCGTTGACAAAGGGGTCCGGAAAATTAGGTTGCCATTGAAGGGCGAGTCCAGTTTTTTCGGGGGGGGTGGGGGTCGATTACCAAGGGATGTCGAATATCCCACCCCTTCCGTCCGACCGCGGCCTGCCTGAGCCTGTGGCAGGCGGAAGCCCAGGCGGCGGGCGGCGCAGCAGGCGCGGCGCCCTCACGCGGAGAGAGCGGTGCCGCGGCCAAGATGCGGTGATGTGCAGCGCGGGCCCTGGCCCTTGCGCAACGGCCACGCAGCGGGGGCAGCGCAGGAGGGGCTGGGGGAGAGGAGGAGGCGAGTGGCGTGAAGAGGATGGGGAAGGCAGACGGCGTGGGACGCGAAGAGCAGGTCAGCACATCTCCTCTGCCTCCACGCCCTGGCTGCCGCGCCGCCGCGGGGTACGGAAGGACTCCGAGGCTCTCTGCTGGCTACCCCTACCAGTCCGAGGCTGGTGCGCCTTCCTGGTTCCAGCGCTCGTGGGTAAGCGCGGAGCGGAGGCGAGAAGGACACGCACGTGCCTCACTGCTGTCAGCAGCGAGCCGGGGAGTCCGCAGGCAGCCCCTCCGAGGCCGACACGTTTGTCCGAGGCCATCAGGGCCACCGCAAACAGAAACCTGGACACCGAAGCTGGTTCCCGAGCAGACGTTCTAAGCGTCACTTTCGCGGCAGGGGTGGCGACAAAGAGAAGGGAAACAAACGCACGAGTGGGCACATGCAGGTGGAAGCTGAGCGGAAATGACAAGGAAGAGTTGGAAGAGAAGGAGGAGGAGGGACGAAAAGGAGAGAAAGAGAGAGAGAGAGAGACACGAACTGACCGCCGCTGCCTGTACACGACGTTGAGCGCAGCAGCTATCTGTACACAGGCCTACTTCTGGATGCTAACGCTGCCGCTCCGTTCCCCGGCTGTGCTGCTGCTGTAAGGTGGGGGCATCGGACGAAGCTTCCGAAACAATCGTAACGGATCAACCACATTTAAAGGGCGAGCCTGAGCGAGCCACGAATTACCGCGTACTCGGAAACACCAGGCTCAAACAGCGGGTATCGCCATTCTCAGCGGCGGCCAGACACAACATGTCTCATGCTTAAAGCGGCCTCCACAACTCGAGCGTCGACCAGCGGAACTCGTACCCACACCTGGACCGCGCGCCGTTTTCAGTTGTCCGAACATTTTCCACGTCCGCACTCGTTCTTCCTCATTGCCCATCATAGTTCATTGATCTCGAAGCCTGCCCATCTCCAAGAAGGTCCAGCACTCCGCGCTGGGAGGAACACGTACGGCAGAGGGGGAGCACGAACCGAAAAACCAAGCCTTCCGCCCCATGAGGCCCTCAGGAGGCGCCCAAGAGGCGCCCAAGAGATCCCCAAGAGGCCTCAAAGAGGCCCCAAGAGGTCCCAAACAGGTCCCAGAAAGAATCTAGGAGACCCCAAAACGGCCCCAAGAGACTTCAAAACTGCCTGCAAGAGGCCCCCGAGAGGCCTCCCGCGTCATCCCATCCCAGGAACTATGGCGGGACTTGCCAGAGGCAGATGCATAATCCTGCTGGTGATCATCCTTCCCCTCCTCCTCTCCCTCCTCGTCATCCTCTTCCTCTCGCCCCTATGCCCTATGAAATGACTTGCTTCATCAACCTCCTTCTCATGCTCTCACTCTCACCTACTCCCCCCCCATCCTCCCCCTCCTTCATCACTTCCTCGGTTCTCATGATCCGCCCCCCGTGTCCCATCCTCTCTCCTCTTCCCACCCACTTCCTCCTCCTCCTCCTCCTCCTCCTCCTCCTCCTCCTCCTCCTCCTCCTCCTCATCATCATCATCATCATCATCATCATCATCATCATCATCATCATCATCATCATCATCATCATCATCATCATCATCATCATCATCCACCTCTTCCTGCATCCTCCGAAGCTCTCCTCCCCGGTCCACCGTCCTCTTCACCCTGCTCCTCTCCCTCCCTCCTCTCTCCTTCCCCCTGCGACTACTCCCTGCTCGTGCCCCTGCCCCCTTCCCTCCGCCCCCCGCACAGGGCCGCTGGAGGCCAGGCGGCACCGGCAGGTAATGTGGTCGCACCCGCCGTCCTTCTCGATGGGCACGCTGCAGCGCGGACAGCGCCTGGCCGCTGCTCCGCCCGGCCCACCCCCGCCCCTGGCCCGATACGCAGCTGCTGCCGTCTGCCATCGTGCAGGGCCGCGCGATGATGTTGTACGCGTGTGCGCATTGATGTGGCCGCCGTCGGACACTTTTTCCGTCGGCGGCGAGGCAGGGGCGATCCGCACCAGCGCGCGGCTAATCGGGGGCACCGATCGGCAAACTGTCCGGCGCGCAAGAGAGGGGAGAAGACGAGGGCGGCCGCGCGGGGGGGGAAGGAAGTACGCGCTCAAACCGATGTCGGAGACACTGAACCCAAAAATGTCATCTCATAGGGTGGTATCTTCTACTTCCGCCGCCTTCCGTCGACCTTCCGCCTGGTTCCAGGCCTCGTTTTACTTCCACCGCCCTCCGCCAGCCTTCCGCCGAGGAAGGGGTGACAACTCCTTCGATCTTCGAAGATAAGGCATTTTCTGAAATGGGTGAGGATCTATTGTGCAGCGTGTCGCGGCGTCTGCCTTGGAGACAGGCTATATGCCCTGCTAGCGGATAGCGTGTCGCTCCGCCCCGCGGGGCGGGAGGCTCCCCTGGATCCCAGATCTGGCACAGCCGAGCGCAGCGGGGAACGCCCGCGCGACCCTTGCCGAGGCCTTTTGGGGCGTGGCCTGTTGTCCCCGCTTCCTACGTGTCCCCCGATGGACCAGGTTAGCAGTCCTGGGCCTCCCCTGGGGCCCCTTGGGGCGTCTTGAGGGCCCCGTGGGCCAGCCCAGGAGGCCCAAAACATGCAAGCTCGAAGCGGAAAGCCGAAGGCCGGCTGAGCACAAGCGAGCAACGAGTCCGTGCCAGCTGAGGCTGAGGGCAAGGTAAACGAAACCTAGAAAGGCCGGCCAAAGGCAAGGGCACTTAAACTAGAGGTCAATACGAAAGGCATGCGCAAGACAGTGGGACGAGTTAAGAATCAACCAAGTACATAGCCATGAGGGTCACTACTTGATGAATTCGTGTGCGCACGAACGTAAGTAAGTATGGTGCACATGTGCATGGACAAAGCGCCAGCCCGACTACCAAATCAATGGTCGCCTGAGCTGCTCGTGTAAATCAAGTCGGATAAAGTCACCCGCATCATTTTTATCGCTCCTGTTTTGTCTTGAAGGCCTCAGACGCAATAGTGTGGGAGAGAAGAGCAAGGGATGATAAAAGCTCAACTTAGCAAGCCGGGCGAAACCGTGAGCGAAATGAGCCGCGAACGGCACCGATATCCACCAGAAATGCTGCAGAAACGGTGACGCTTCTGCCAGATCCGGTGTCCAACGGAAGCGCCACCTCACGTTGCAGAGCCGTTCTGTTGCCACTGCTTGCTCACAAAACTCGTGCCCTGTGTGCAGCCTCGCCACATCAAAGCGCCACGGGAGACCGGCCGAGGTACCGTGCCGGCTTCTCTGTGACGACTCCACAGAAGAGAACGGAACACGCCCGAGACCGTCTCTCGTGGCCTGCCTCGGCCCAGGGCGACAGTGGAGGCCTCCTCTCTGGGCTGAAGGCCGAAGAAAGGACTGGAGCGTTGAATCGAAGACCAACCCACCTCCACTGACCACCTCCACCTCCACCTCCACTGACCTCCTCTCTGGGCTGAAGGCCGAAGAAAGGACCGAAGCGTTGAAGCGAAAGCCACCCACACTCCCCTGGTCAGGCCAATTCCCCCCCCGCAGTTTCAAAAATGAGCAACGAAGAACCGCCAACCGACCCGACCCCCGCTCGAGCATTCTACACGCATGTTTCGTAGACTCGATGCACAAATCCATTCTGGGTCCATCAAGTCTGCAGTCGATCCCCGCTCGAGCACGGCGAGACGACGCAGGGGGGGGAAGGGGGGCGCCGAACGGTCTCGGGGAGCTCGGCCTCGGCCTGCGCGAGGCAGCCATCGCCTCTGGCGGAGCGGCTGGGCCGGCAGCGGCAGCAGCCAGGAGGCGGCAGCAGCAGCGGGCGGCATCGCGGTGACCGGCCAGAGCGACGACAGAGACCCCGAGACGCAGCCAGGACGAGGATAAACATCGGGTGGGGATGGATCGAGAATCCGCCGACCCTGTCGGAGTGTGCGAGGGGCTTGGCTGTTCGAGTCGTCGTCTCCGTCGGTCGTCGCCTCCGTCGTCCCCTTTCCCTGCAGATTCCTTCTTAAGCTCGTGAGCGAGAGAAAAATCTAGCAGTGTCGTAATCGAGTCGAAGGGAAGCCCCTTCCCTTCGATCCCTTCCCCAGGGGGGGGGGGGGGCCCGGGGGGGGGGGGGGCCCGGGGGGGGGGCGGGGGCAGATTCGTTTTTCCCGGGCGGCCTAGAAACCTCGAAAACACTCCAAATGAGGTCCGAATGCCCAAGATGGCCCCCGAGACGGCCCAAGAGGGCCCCGAGTCGCCCAAAGATCTGCCGCAAACGCCCAAGACAGCCCCAAGACCGTCCAAGAAGCCTCCAAGACGTCCCAGGCCCCCTCCAAGAGACCCCCAGGAAGCCCCAAGAGGCCCCCACGAGGCTTCCAAGCGACCCCTAAGACCTTCCCAAGAGGCCCACAAACTACCCCCAAGAGGCCCCCAAGAGCGCTCGTCGTCGTCATCGTCGTCGTCGTCGTCGTCGTCGTCGTCGTCGTCGTCGTCGTCGTCGTCGTCGTCGTCGCCATTCAGGGTCGGCGGCACCGGCCGTAAGGCCTTCGCAATCCCTGGGATCGGGCGGCTCTGGAGGATTTCTCGGGCGCCGCGGCCGTCTCGGAGCGTTCCAGAGCGCTCTGAGGGCGTTCCGGAACGCTCTGATTTGGATTCATCCTCGCCCCAGCCCCGTCCGAGACCCAGAGCTCCGAGGCTCGGAATTGTTTGATCCCAGCGTTGTTCCCCGACTCTGACCCCCGCTCTGACTCTGGATGCGCCGTATACTGCTGGGTGATGTAGAAAGTAGGTCGGGCGAGACATCCCACAAGGCTTTTCCAGCTCCTTTGATGTCGATTCCCGCCACACTTTGCCGCCGCTGTTTCCGCAATACCTTTCCGGATACATTCGCCATATTTTCCTGAGGCAGACACTTCCGCCCAACTGCTTCGCATCGTCTGGGGTGCATGAATGACACAACTTCAAAACTGGAGCATCAACCAAAGTACAGCGGATCCGGAGTCAGGGCGGGGCCCGCTGCCAGGCCCAAGGGCCATCAAACACGGATCCCGGACGCAAAAGGAAGCCCCGGGGGCAGGTCGGGGACCTCCCGGAGGCCGCGGATTGAGCAAGTCACATCGGAGGGCTTGCCGTCGCTCGGACGTCCACTCCCTGTGCGTTCTTCGGTGTTGTGCGTGTTTTCCTTGCTCGATGATCCAGGATGCTCTTCGATGGTCCTCGCCGAGGAAAAAGGCACACGTCCGAGCGATGCCAAGAGGATGGCTGGGGACGACGATAGAGGTGACGGCCACGGCGGCGCTCGCGACGGTGGCGGCAGCGGCTGCCGCTGCCGCCGCGCAAAGGCCATTTGGGCTGGCAGGTGGAGCGCGACGGCAGCAACAGAGGCGCAGGGCTGGTGCGTAGCCCGCCGGGAAGCTGGGGAGGGTGGGGCGGTAAGGGCCAGGACCAGATCGGGAAGCCCGATCGAAATCGGAACCCTGTCGAATCGTTTGAAATCGGAGCCAAGCCGGCAATCGCATCATCGGATCGGAGATGGCAGTCCCTGGCAGGCGCTGTCAGGAGATGAAGGCAGAGGCATGGGAGAGGGGATGAGATGGCGAGGCCCCAGTTCATCCGCCTGGGAGCCGAACGCTGCAGCTCGTGCCAGAGATTGAAGATGCTGCGCGAAAGCCCAGAGGACGACCCGGCGAACGACTCACCTGAAAAACCTGGGCTGGCTCCCCAAAAACAAGACCTCAGGCAAGCGCGGGCCCATGCGTGTCTTGGTCCTCATCCTGTTTCTTGGCTTGCTCTTGAGTGCAGTGCGGCAAAGGCTGAGGCCACTGTGCGCTACCCATCGTCGTCGTACTAATCGTTGTCCCCCTCCTCCTCCTCCTCCTCCTCCTCCTCATCGTCATCATCATAATTCTCCCTCAGTGTGCTTGTGGTCATCCTGCCCCAGACTCCCGCTCATCGTTCTTATGGCGCTGCTTCGGATTCTCGAGATTATCCCCCTCGCTCTTCCGTCTCCTCAGGTTGTTCATCATCCCTCCTCCTCCTCCTCCTCCTCCTCCTCCTCCTCCTCCTCCTCCTCCTCCTCCCGCCTCCTCCTCCTCCTCCTCCTCCTCCTCCTCCTCCTCCTCCTCCTATCCCACTCCCTCCGCCCAAGTGGAAGGGAGAGAAGGGGGGAGAGGGTCGGGGGGAGGGAGGTCGGCAGACCTGCTCCGTCTCATGGTCGCGATTCGCCTCCTCACCATACTCATCAATCCTCCCGCTCCCTCTCCCCATCCCGCTCCCGCATCCATCCATGACCCCTCCTATCCTGCATCTCCTCCTCCTAGTCCTTCTCATCCTCCTCCTGAGGCCGCCTCCTCCTCCGACTCCTGCATCCTCCTCCCCCTCCATCCATCCACCCATCCATCCATCCATCCATCCATCCATCCATCCATCCATCCATCCATCCATCCATCCTCGCCCCGTCCTCCTCCCCCCCCCCGCCACGGGCAAGCGCGCCGCCACCACAGCCGCCGTGCATGCTCAGCTGCTTCTTCAGCAGGTGCCTGTCGGGCTCCCACTGGTGCTCGCACACAAAGCACATGACCTCCAGGAGCGGGACTGCAATTAGGGAAGAAAGGGGGGGGGGGAAAGGAGGGAGGGGTGAGGAGGGAGGGAAGCGAGACGGATCAGGGATCCCGCTCTCGGTCTCCCTGGTGCCTTGGCCTGGGGCGGAGCGGGTACCCAGGGGCATGGGGATAAAGCCCCCCGCCCCCCACCAGCGTGAGCGCGCTTCGCCCTCCGGCCTGCGGTGCGCCGCCGTGGAGGATCCGAGCCCAGGTCTCCGTCCGGCGGGAGAGGGCCCGAGACACGAACAGCGCTGGGCCTAAGCGGTGTGCTTCGTTCCGTTTCGTTTGCCGATGTGTTGTTCGATGTGTGCTGCCTGCTCCCCAGGGCCTCCCCGCCAAAGCGGAAGCCCAGATGACGCCCGCGGTCCAGCGAAAGAACCTTGAGGTCCAGCCCTGTGAAGGGGTGGCGGCAGGGCAGGGGCAAGACGCGGCACTTGGGCGTCGCCCGATGGGGGGGGGAGCGACATATGGAAGGGGAGAAAGGTGAACTCCTCGGGCCCTGAAGGCCCCTTTCGGGCCCGAAAGGGCAACTTGTCTGGAGCCCTCCTCCTCCTCCTCCTCCTCCTCCTCCTCCTCCTCCTCCTCCTCCTCCTCCTCCTCCTCCTCCTCCTCCTCCTCCTCCTCCTCCTCCTCCTCCTCCTCCTCCTCCTCCTCCTCCTCCTCCTCCTCCTCCTCCTCCTCCTGCCCCTCTGGTGGATCGCCCCCCCTCCTGCGCGACGCCCAGGGCAAGGGCGGGCACGCCCGGCCCGGGGCGGGGGCGGGGGCGGGGGCGGCGCCGGGCAGGCAGGCTGCGCGGGGGGAGGCCGCCCCCCCCCCCCCCGCCGCCGACCTCCCCGGGGGGAGGGGGTCCCGGCCAGGCTGTGTGGGCCGCGCCGCGGGGCCTGGGCCGGGCGGCGGCCATGCAGGCCCGACCCCGCCCATCGACGCACCGCGGCCGCGGCTGGCCCGAGGGCAGTGCCGCGGGGCGGGGGCGGGCGGCGGCGGAAGGGGGAGGGAGCGGGGATGAGGAGGGGGCGGGGAGGAGGCAGAGAGGAGGGGCGGGAGTGAGGGTGGAGGAGGGGAAGGAGGCATCAGATGATGATGATGATGATGATGATGATGATGATGATGATGATGATGATGATGATGATGATGATGATGATGCTGATGCTGATGATGATGATGATGATGATGATGATGATGATGATGCTGCTGCTGCTGATGCTGATGCTGATGCTGATGCTGCTGATGATGATGTTGATGCTGATGATGATGATGATGCTGATGCTGATGCTGATGATGCTGATGCTGATGCTGATGCTGATGCTGATGCTGATGCTGATGATGGTGATGGTGATGGTGATGATGATGATGATGACGATGATGATGGTGATGGTGATGGTGATGGTGATGGTGGTGGTGGTGATGGTGATGGTGATGGTGATGGTGATGGTGGTGGTGGTGGTGATGATGACGATGATTATTATATGACGAAATGATGAGGTGGAGAGCGAAAGAGCATGGGGGATGCGGAGGAACACGAGACGGAAGCGCTGGGCTCAAACTGGCGAGTTCCGGGAGCACTGAATTCAAACGAATGTGCACTTCTTGAAATGCCGATTGCTCAATTCTGCCGGCTTCCGCCCGCGGAACCGCCGGCAATTTACCGCCAGCTTCGACCGCCCTGACGCCACCTTTCACCAGGGAAGGAAAAGATGTGATCTTATCGATTTCTCGAACGGCGAGGCCCTTGCTAGAGAGCCCCGACCGGCTACGCAGCAGCTCGGCCGCCACACGCGCTCGGCGGGCCACCTCACGCGGTCAGGGCCCCCTGGCGCAGGGAGCGGTGCTTGCGCGCCTGCAAGAGCGACGCAGCGGTCTCGTCGCTCAGGATCGCAAGGGCTTCCTTCAATCCTTGTATCTCTGACTCACGGCGAGCCTTGCGCTCCTCGTACGCCTCCGGTTTGGCGATGCAGCGCTCGTTGACCTTAGCATAGTACTCCAGCACCGACGACAGCTCCTCGTTGGTTGATGTGCGGTCAGCGGATAGCTCATTGACGTCCTTGTCCAAGCCCTTGAACTCTTGCACTTTATATTTCACATCCTGGCTCTTCGTGGCCATGGACACCTTGATCTCCTGCGTCCTGGCATCGTATGAGGACAACGCATCTGCCTCCGTTGCCTCCTCATCGGCAAGGTTCTTCGCGAAATCCGACTCTACGACCTCCAAGATATCAATTATGCTGCCACCTGCGCCTGCGGCCTTGCTGTGGAACGCGGGTTTCGCTGGCTGCTGGCTTTGGAGCATGGCGGCACCGTCTCCCTGGTAGTACTTGCGGAGGATCGAGAGCGCCTTGCCCACGCCCTCCAGGCCAAGCTCAAGGTCGGCTTTGGCCTGGAGGTAGGCTGCGTGCTGGTCAGAGCGGAGTTGATCCATCTCTGCCTGCTCCTTGGCTAGCGAGGCCAGCTCCGTCTGCAACGACTTCACCTCCTCCTTGAGCTTGGCCGAGTGCGCGCTCTTGGTGTCGATCTTGGAAGTCAGCTTGGCGATATCATCCTCAAGCTCCGACTTCTTCGCTTCGGTCTTGGCAATTTGCTCGTCGCAGTAGGCCTTCTCGGTCGCGGCCGCGTCAGCCTCGGCCTGTAGCTTGTCGATCATGTCCTTAATGAGCCCTTTAACTTTAACGAATGGATCTTCCCCAGCGCCACTGCCGAACTGCATGAGAGCTGTGATGCGTGATGCCAGCTGTGCGAGGGCCTCAGAGTGGTGGTCCTTGGCCAGCCTCTTGACGAAGCGGGCCACCTCGGCGCCCTTCAGGTCCGCGCTGGCGCGCAGGTGCGAACTCACCTTCTGGACGAAGGAGTACGTCTGCTCCACGGCGCCGGAGCTCGTCTCCATGAGCACCCTCTTCGCAGCGGCGATCGTCTTCATCTCGGCAGCGCGGTCTGCGGTGGAGGCGTCGTGGTCTGCCGCCAGCTTCATGCAGTCGGCCTGCGTTGCCGACCTCGCTGCCTCCGTGTCCCGGAGTCCGCCGACCCCGCCAGCGGGGGGGAGGGGTGCAGAAGGCGAGTGACAGAATTAGATGCCCCTCTCTCTCCTCCGTTGCCCCTCGCCTGGGTCTAAGATTCGATTCGACAGAGGGGGAGGCCGAGGGGGGGGGGCTCTAGGCTCCTCAACGCTCCACCAGGGTCTCCAGAGCATCCATTTCTACACTCCGTAACCTCCAAGGCGCCATCTAAGATTACCCAAGCTTGCTCAAGCTGGGCTCGAACACGCCAAGGAAGCCCCCCAAACAACCAAGACAGCATCAGGACAGCCCAAGAAGCCTCCAAGTCACCCCCAGAGAGCTCCAAGAGGACCCCCAAGAGAGCCCCAAGACGCCCAAATCGCCCCAATTCCGATGGAAACTTTAAATGCTTAGCATTTTCCTCTTGTTGGTTACAAGAGCGTCCGAAGCAGCCCCAAAGATCGTTCCAGGACGGCCAAAGAGGTCCCTAAGAGGGCTCCAAGACAGCCGAAAAAGAGCCTCAGAACGGCCCAGAAGGCGCCCAGGATGGCCCAAGAGGGCCCCAAAAGAGCTTCAAGAGGGGACCAAGACCCAAGAGGAAGAACTCGAACTGACATGTCCAGCCCTCCGCCCCAAGAGGACCCCCGAGACCGCCAGCAGGCGCCCAACAGACCCCCAAGAGGCTCCAAGAGGCCCCAAAGAGGCCCAAAGGATGCCCCAATAGGCCCGGCAAACAGTTCCCAAAAGGAGGCAGGCCTCATCCGTGGCCGTGATTCCTCCCCTGTGGGGATCGGCGGGATGGCACAAACCACTTGCATAACTTCGTGGTCGTTGCAAGATCCGCGGTAGCCGTCGCTTTCGCCTCCTCGGAGTCAGACTTGAAAGCCTTCTCCTCCTTCATCTCCTTCGTGTTATAGGCAACCTCGTCCTCCAGGCTCTGCTTCAGGAGGTTATAGTTGTGCCGAGTGCTCGACTCCTCCTTGCGCAGGGTGGCGAGCTGCTCCTCGGCCTTTGCCTTGAGATCCTCGAGGACGTCCAGGATCCCTGTACTGTGTGACCTGTAGGCTGCTGGGTCCGGGGCACCGGCGTCGTCCGACTCAGCGGCATCCCGCTGCTCCTGCGCAAACGCAACGAGCTTGTCCTTATCGGCCCCCCCGAGGGAAGCAGCGTCCATAATCGTGCTGAGAGCCGTGATCAGACCGGCCATGCCCGAGACATCCATCTGCACGAAGGCGGCGGGCTTCTTGGCCATTTCCTTAGAGACTATGTCGATCGCCCGCGACAAGGCGCTCAGAGTGTCCGTGAGTTCCGCCTCGCCGGCTGAGAATTCATCTGCTTCCTTCTTGCGAATCAGCGCGGCGTTGTTCAGCTCCCCCTCCGCCTTCGCGATCTTGCCCGCTAGGTCGCCAATCTTGCCCTCGGCCGCCTCGATATCGCTGCTGGTCTTCGTGATAGTGGCCGCGAGCTCGCTGCTCTTGGCGGTGGCGGTGTCGATGTCATACTTCTGGTTCGATGTCGTCTCGTCGCACCACTCCACGTACTTGTGGAACGCCTTGTCCTCGGCGTCCCCGTCTGCGACCAGCTTCGCCGCCAGTGAGTCCATGAGCTCGATGACCTTGCCCAGGGGATTTGACTGGCTAGCGGTCGCGCCGTGCACGCCCGCGAGCGCGAGGACGGAAGCGAGGACGAAGCACTTCATTGCTGCCCGCGCGCGTCCGCGGGCGAGGGGCGGAGGGCGCCGAAGTGGTGAGCGAGACGGCTTGGCCCGATAATGCCTCAGCCACAACGGCAACGGAGGGAGGAGGGAGGAGCACAGAGGAGGGAACACCTCCTCCTCCTCCTCCTCCTCCTCCTCCTCCTCCTCATCATCATCATCATCATCATCATCATCATCATCATCATCACCACAATCATCACAAACACCACCACCACCATCATCAGCGTCACCATCATCATCATCATCATCATCATCATCATCAGCAGCAGCAGCAGCAGCAGCATCGGCGTCAGAATCATCACCATCAGCATCAAAATCAACAGTATCGTCATCATCATCATCATCATCGAATCATTCCACCACACCCACCACCTCCATCAGACTCGCCATCGTCGTCGTTATCGTCACAATCACCATCAGCATCACCACCACAATCATCATCATCATCAGCAGCATCATCATCATCGTCGTTGCCATCGTCATCGGCATCGTCATCATCATGATCATTGTCAACAGCATCATCATCACCAGCAGCAACATCATCATCAGCATCATCATCGTCGTCGTCGTTCTCGTCAGCATCAGCATCGTCATCAGTATCACCACCATCAATCTCATCACCACCTTCACCATCACCATCACCATCACCGTCATCAGTATCATCAGCATCATCAGCATCAGCATCGTCATCATCATCATCAGCAGCATAATCATCATCAACATCAGCAGCATCATCATAATCGGCAGCATCAGCATCATCATCATCATCAGCAGCAGCATCGACATCGCCATCACCATCGTCGTCATCATCATCAGCATCATCATCATAATCATGGACGTCACCATCATCATGCCCAGCAGCACCATCAATACCAGCAGCATCAGCATCAGCATCAGCATCAGCATCACCATCCTTGTCCTCCTTCACCTCTTCATCATCAGCAGCATTCTCATCCTCAGCCTCATCAGCAGCAGCAGCACAATCATCATTACCATCATCATCACGATCAGAATCCTCATCACCATGATGTGCGACTAGAATGCGATCACCTACAGTGGCAACGCCAGCCAGCAAGCACGGCACCCGAGACCAAGCTAATCGGGCAACATGGCGTCGATGGCCTGCGCATCGAATCGTACTCTTGCTGCCCTTTGCTGCCCCTTCCGCTGCTGCCCCGCCGGTGCCTTCCCGCTCGAAGGGGCCTCGGGGCCTCACCTCGCCTAAAAGGGCATGCGGGACTCCCCGAGCATGAGCCCTCGATCTACGTCCGATGAACGCTCGGGAACTGTTGGACAGCGTGCCGCGCCGCCTGTCAAGCAAGCAGCCAAGCTGTGTGCGCCCCCCAGCGCAGAGAGCAGAGCCGCTCCAAGAGCTGCTGCGGCTCCCGGTCCGCCTCCTTCCCCGGGGCCGCGCCTCCGCGACGGCCCCTCCTTCTCGCCCTCGGCGCCACGACCACCACCTCCCGGCGCGCCTGGATGTCACGGTGACCGGTGGAACCGCGCGCCCATGGCGGACGATGATGTTGCTGCTGCTGATGCTGATGAGAGGAGGGGAGGGGGAGGAAGAGGAGGAGGAGGAGGAGGAGAAGGAGGAGGAGGAGGAGAAGGAGAAAGGGTAGGAGTAGGAGGAGGAGGAGGAGGAGAAGGAGAAAGGGGAGGAGGAGGAGGAGAAGGAGGAGGAGGAGGAGGAGGAGGAGGAGGAGGAGGAGGAAGGGGAGGAGGAAGGGGACGAGGAGGAGGAGGAGGAGGAGAAAGAGCAAAGGACCAGGAGGAGACGGCGGAGGAGAAGCACGATGTTGAGGAAGCAGAGGGGGGAAGCAGGAGGCAGCGGCAGGCAGGAGCCCTCATGATCAGGCCGCGAGCGCGGCGACTCTTGGGATGTTTGAACCGACCACCGAGGACGAGCAGCGCTGGAGCAGGCGGGGAGGGGGGGAGGGGGGAAAGGGGGGAAGGAGGAGGGAGAGGGGAAGCCAAGCTCGGCGGGTGAGTTGAGCTGACTTTCTGCATCCGCCCACAGGTGTGATAGCGGATATGCGACTCCCCAAGAATAGCCGACGATGGGGATCCTGATTTGTCCATCTCATACTCCTGTCACGCTTCGCTGTGGAACTCTGTCTATGAGCATCTGGGTGTGGGAGCGAGTCAGAGTGGACGACAGGCGCGGCAAAGACGACGACGACGACAACGACGACTTCAGAGACGTCTTCCTCCTCCTCCTCCTCCTCCTCCTCCTCCTACTCCTCCTCCTCTCGACTTCTTCCAGGAAAGGCGAGGGAACACACAACTGGAAAAGCGATTGGTACTTCCTCTTGCCGTTCTTCCTGCGGCAACTCAGGCAAGCGCGCATGGCGTTGCTACGCCCGCTTTCGGGCGTGCTACCCGCAGCACCTGCTGGCACTTGGAGCGCCCAAGTGCCACGCCCGCTATATCACGGTAGCAATTTGTGTGTGTGAACTGTAGTGCGAATAAATCTGAGCGCGGGTGATCTGAGTGCGAGCGAGTCGGAGTGTGAATGGAGCCTAGGTGTGATCGAGCCTGAGTGTGAGTGATTCTGGATATAGTCAGGATGAGTGCGAACGGGAATGAGTATGAGCGAGTCTGAGTGCGAGCGTGCGAGTGGATCTAATTGGGAGTGAATCAGAGTGTGGGCGAATCTGAGTTTGAGCGAGTCTGTGTATGAGCGTGTATGTGTGACTCTGGATATGATCGGGTATGAGTACGAGCGAGTCTTAATGAGATAAGTTAGTCTAAATGAGGAAGGTGTGCGGATGAGTAAGTCCGAGTGCGAAAGAGTGCGTCCGAATGGGAGAACAAGGGAAGGAGGTGAGTGAGTGAGCGAGCGAGGAGTAAACAAGCCCAAAGAAGAGCCTGAGGGGCAGGACCAGACCAACCGCCCGAGTCATCCCCCCAACTTGGAAGCGAATCCTGAAATGCCCCTGCCCCTGGCGGCTCCGCCTGGGGGTGCCCAAATGCCGCGCCTGCTATAGCACGGTGAACGTTGGGCAACAAAACTAAAGACATCGGCGGGGGCAGAAAAGAGGCACACCGCTCGAGACACCCGGGGGGTGGGAAGTGAGTGTGTGCATCGAGGCTCGGAGGCCTCCTTTTCCCCCCTCCTCCTCCTCCTCCTCTTCCTCCATTTCCTCCTCCTCCTCCTCCTCTTCCTCCATTTCCTCCTCCTCCTCCTCCTCCTCCTCCTCCTCCTCCTCCTCTTCCTCCTCCTCCTCCTCCTCCTCCTCCTCCTCCTCCCACACTCTGAGCGCCAATCCGGGAATCTCCACGCCCCCAACAGCTCCCTCTTGGGGTGCCCATGTGCCACGCCTGCTGCATCGCAGATGATCACTGGACGACGGGCAGAAGCACACCTGCGAGACATCTTCACAATCTGGACGCGAGCCCTGAGGTGTCCTCACCCGGCTCTCACTGGCGGTGCCCAGAATGCCACGCCTGCTATATAGCGGCGAATGCTGGACCACCAAAATAGCAAAAGCTGGAGGGCAGAAACGGGCAAGCCGCCTGAGACATCCTCACAATCAGCTCTAAAAGCAAAGGAAGCTGGGCACTCACACAGGCAAACAACAGGGGCATCCCCATTGTCTAGGCGCGAACGGGCCCGTGCAACAACCCCTGGCGGCCCCCCTTGGAGTGCTGAAACCAGCGCCTCGCCTGAGACATCGTCACAATCTGCTCTGAAAGCAAAGAATGCTGGGCACCCACCCCACAATCTGGGCGCGCGGCTCCGCGCTCGAGTGCTGAAACCAGCGCCTCGGCTGAGACATCCTCGCATTTTGCTATGAGCACCCAAACGAGCAAACCGCCTGAGACATCCCCACAATCTGGGCGCAAACGGGCCCGTGCAATACCCCCTGGCAGCTCCCCATTGGAGAGCTGAAACCGGGCGCGAATGGGCCAATGCAGTGGAATACCCCCCTGCCCCCCCCTCCCCCTGCCCCCCCCCCCCTGGGAGTGCTGAAACCAGCGCCTCGCCTGAGACACGCTCACAACCTGTGTGTGTGTGTGTGTGATTGATTCTGAAGATGAACGGATCGAAGTGTGAAGAGAGTATGAGTGTGAGTTAATCTAGTATGAACTCGTCTGAGAGTGAGTGTGTGTGAGTGTGTGTCTGACTGTGAATGAGCCTGACTGCGAGTGAGTGAACCTGAACGTGAGTGAGCCTGCGTATAAGCGGATCTAAATATGAGCGAGTCTGAGTATGAGTGAATCTGAATGTGAGTAAGTCTGAGTGCGAGTGAGTCTGAGTACGAGTGAGTATGAGTGAGTCTGGGCACGAGTGAGTTAGATAAAAAGTGAGTATGACTGAGTCTGAGTGAGTCTGAGTGAGTCTGCGTGAGGGAGAATGAGACAGAGAAGCAGGGAGAGAAGGGGGGCCGAGAAGAGGTGGCGGAAGCCGGCGCGGTTTGAGTAATAATCAAACCCCACTCCAGGAGGTGATGAAGCAATGACCCCATCGCGGCATGCGAATGGCGAGGCGGAGCAGATAAGACGAAGCCAGGACGAGGATCAAATCGGGTCAGGATAGTTCGAGATAATCTCAGAGAACCGGCGGCTCTGGGTGATGTCTCAGGCGCCGCGGCCTTCTCAGAGCGTTCCAGAACGCTGCGCGAGCGCTCTGGAACGCTCTGGCACGGAGGGATCCTCGTCCTGGACCTGCCCACGCAGGAGGGGGGCAGCAGGCTTGCGGGAGCGGCTGCCCACTGGTCGGAAAAAGCAGGCAGAAGCACGAAGCAGGAAGGCGCTGAAAACAGACTGGGCTCCGCCCGCCCCCGAGGGAGGACGAAAAAAAGGCGGCGCCCCTCTCGATCGTGGCATCCAGAAGCACCTGCTCTCAACGACCGATGGGTAGCTGGCCATCGCTCGGACGTCCATTCCCTGTGTTTTGTTCGGTTTCGCGCGTGGTTTTTTCGCCAGATGATGATCGAATGCTCCTCGATGGTCCTCGCCGAAAGAAACATGCACACGTCCGAGCGATGCCGGGGTAGAGCTGGGCGCGCCCGCGGAGCCAGCCGGGCGGGGCGGGGCGGGGCGCGGGCGCCCCGGCTGGCCTGCGGCCGGCGTCAGAGGGGGGGGCAGGGCGAGGGGCGGAGCGGGGGGGGCGGCCGTGTCGAAGCCGAGGTAGCCGATGCCGACGCAGTCGGGGCGGGGGCAGTCCACCTGCAGCGGCGCGGGGTAGAGGCGGTTGCGCTCCAGGTCGAAGCGCTGCTCGAGCCTGGCGTGTGGGGGGGGGGGGCGGGGCGCGCCCGCGGCTGGAGGCAGGAGGGGGGGGGGGGGGAGCGCACGAGGCAGGGAGGCGGGAGGCAGGGGCAGGGGCTGGAGCGAAAGGGATCGGGAGGACGAGGAGGATGGCAGCGGCGAGGAGCACAACGGGGACGAGGACACCAGGGAACATCAGAGCGAGGACGCGGACGAGGGCGGGGGCGAGGACGTAGAGGATGCAGGGAAGGAGGTATAGGAGGAGCATACATGGAGGCAGATCTGGAGAAGATGGAGCAATCATTCAAAGCTTAGCGAAGTATAGGGCACAGCGGATCGGCCTCACCACAGCAGGTGAAGCGCCGAAAGCGGTCACAGGCTCGACATGCAGATGCGGAGCCCTGGTTCGAGCTCTGCCCTTGCTGAGAGAGGAGGACGCGGGCAGAAAAACGTCGAGCAGGACGGCAACGCGGAAGCATAATTACACAAGTGCGGTAGATGACGAGGATGCGCCGGACGCGGAGGCTGGGAATGGTGAGGCGGAGGACAGGTCGCACGAGGATTGGGGGAAAACAAACCTACCTCGCTTTTGACCACCCTCGCTTCCAAGAGATACCAAACGATGCCAAATTGCAGCCTGTACTGGTCAGGCCGCTTGACGAAGAGGCGCGTGGTATGGCTTGGTTGTGCCTGGAAGCGAAAGCGGGGTAGGTAATTCACGCTCTGAGAGGAGGAAGAGGGGAAGGATATCACAGAGGAGGCATGGCGGCGACTGCCGCCGGGATGCAGCATGCGAGGCGGCAGGGGCGGGGGCCGCAGTGGGAGAGCGAGAGGGCGGGGGCGCCAGCGCGAGCAGCAACGGCAGGGGCAGCACCACGCCAACAGCACGGCAGCTGCCCACGCACGACACGACATCTTGCTGTACAGTCGGGGGCTTCACCTAAGGAACCCAAAATAAGGAACGAGGCCCCTTTTCTCCAGAAGTTCAACTTCGACTTCCCATCGAAAACCTGAGGAACACCCGAGGCAAACTGGGAAACGATCCAGGAACACCTGAGGCCCCTCCCCAACGAAAAGGGCTCCTTCTCTTCAGCGCCCCGACTGTACAGCAGCTGCCCACGCACGACACGGCATCTTGCTATACGGCAGGTTCGTGCCGTGCCGACCCCAGCGTTGGTTCCCGACACCGCGCTGGATCGTTCAACCTTGAACGATCGGCCGCTGCCGCAACGTCCGATCGTTCCACATCGACCGATTCTGGGCCGCCGTCGGCGTTCAAAGTTGAACGTCGGCGGCGGGGTCGCCGCCGGTCGACACGACGCGAACCTACCGTATACGAAATGTGCGGGAGCCGTTTCCGGCGACGCTCGGCTCCGTCGGCTGCCCCCCGCGCTGGGGTCGCCGCCGGTCGACACGACGCAAACCTACCGTATACGAAATGTGCGGGAGCCGTGTCCGGCGACGTGCGGCTTCGTCGGCTGCCCCCGCGTGCCGAGACGGGTCCGTCGGGGAGAATCGCGCTCCTCTGCGCGGGGGGGCACCTGCTGGCCGGGGTCGGTCTCTCGCTTTTGAGGTGGCTGGCGAGCGGGACGGTCCTGCGGTCGCGAGCACAAGTCGAAAGCTGGGCGAGGGCTGCTAAAACCGTGGCTGCTGAAGCGGCCCTCCCGGAAGGAAAAAAGCAGCTTCCCGGAATGAGGCGCGGCACGCGAAACAGCCAACGGGCTTCTTCCCGGAAGGACGGAGACAACTTCCCAGAGGTCGATTTCAGCAGCCACGGATTTAGCAGCCCTGGCCCGGCTTCCGAACAAGGGGGCCTATGGGGGAGGCTGCTTCTCAGAAGGAGGCTGCTCCTTAGCGGGCGCCAGCCCTGCCTCTGCGGAGAAGAAAAAGCCAGGGCCTTCGAGGAAGCGGGGCTGCCTTTATAAGATACCTTCCCCGCCCTCCACGCTCAGGTCGGGCATGTCCCCCTACAGGCCGAGTTTGGGCGAAAACTCACACATACCCAATAAATGCGCGAACAAAATCACAAACAATCCAAAAAAATCGTCCCCAGCTCATGTTTTGACTATTTCTGAATCTTCCTCCCGTAGAGGGACGTGCCCGACTTAACTCTACGTAAAACAAGGCTCGGATCGGGATAAATCGCTCCAGAGCGTTCTGGAGCGCTCTCAGAGCGTTCCGGAACGCTCTGGAGCGGCCGCGGCGCCCAATACATCCTCCAAACCCGCCGATTCTCAGAGATTTCGAGTTATCCCGATCCGATTCTGTCCCGATCTTCGCGTCGTTTGACTACGCGTGGCCAGCAGAGGGTGGTCTCCATGCCTCCCCGGCCCTGCTGGCACGCCGGCGCACGGGCCTCGAGGAGGACGCCGCGTGCGCCAGCGCCCGCGCCGCGCAGGCGCACAGAGGGCAGGTCGCGCCCTCCTCGCCCAGACATGCTCGCGTCGCAGAAGGGATCAGGACGGTACAATCATCAACCTGACCTAAGGAACGATAAATGAGGAACGAAGCCCCTTCTTTATCCCAAGGAATGACGCATAAGGAGTGATACATAACACATAGCGCATAAGGAGCTGTGAGTAACGCATGCAAGCCTAAGGAACGACCGAGCCCCTTTTGAAAAGTAAGCGTTCCTTACTCAAGCCGCTCACGGTAGGTTTTGCACCAGGTTCGGCCCTGGGGGGCCCTCGCCGGGCCCCGGGGCCGTCAGAGAACGCCTCGCGGGGCTAAAAGCCGGTGCTGGGGAACGGGTCGGGGCTGCCGGGGGCGCGCCGTCCTGAAAGGATCTGGACGTGGCATGTCTGGGCCCCTCTCTGTGGAGAAAGAACAAAAAGGCGGGAGGGAGGGAGCGAGAGAGGAACGGGGGAGGGCGTCCTCTTCGACTCTGGCCAGGTACGAAGAACGGTGCTCGTTGGGTCCTGGGGGGCGTGCGGGAAGGAGGTAGCGATACTCTGGGCTTCTTGATAGGCGTGGGGGGGTAGCCCCCGACAGGTGTCCGCCTCGCCTCGTCGTCGCGCCGCGACGGGGGTCGAAGCGCCTTCGGCGCGCAGTGGCTGCCCACGACGGGGGTCGATGTGGGGCTGTCGGCGGGGGTGACGGCCGCCCGACACTGACTAAGAATCTCGGAGTAGCCAGCTCAGGCCTGCAAGCGACGAAGTACGCCTGGCGACGCAGCAGACATCAGGAGGACGTCCTCCTTCTCCTCCTCCTCTGGGGAAGGTATGACTCAGCAGGTAGGAATGATCAGTGAGGGAGGGCGGGAGAGGAGAAATGAGGGCGGAGGGTGGACAGAGATGGAGGACGAGGGGGGAGGGAAGGGGGAGAAGGGGGAGAGAAGGAGGAGGAGAAGGAGGAGGAGAAGGAGGAGGAGAAGGAGGAGGAGGAGGAAGAGGGAGGAGGAGGGAGGACCAGCGAGGAGGAGGACGAGGAGGAAGAGGAGGAGGACGAGGAGGAAGAGGAGGAGGAGGCGGAGGAGGTAGAGGAGGAAGCGGGAGGTAGAAGGGAGAAGCGACGAATGAAGCGGGATGAAAGGAGAAAGGAAGGCGAGCCACAGGGAGAGAGGGAGAGAGAGAGAGTCTGGGAGGGAGGAGGTAAAGCGCAGAGAGAGAGAGAGAGAGAGTAGAAGGAACGAGGGAGCAGGAGGGAGGAGGGAGGGGGTGTGGGCCCTGGCACGCCCTTCGTCTTGTGACACGACCCGACGAGGCCGCGCGGCTCCACAGAAGCTTTCCAAGAGGAGGACCCCCTTCCTGGCGCACGGGGCGCGCCAGGGGCGGCGCCGGAGGCGCCGCCTAGGGGCCCCAGCGCGGATCCAAGAGATCCGCGCGGATCGCCATAAGTTTATGTGTCTGGCGCTTTTGTCCTTTATCGAAGAGGCCAGCGCGACCACCAGCACATCCGGGGCAAACCATGGGACTCCGGTCCCGAACGCGGATGCGATCGGCTCCCGAAGCCCTGGGCACGCTGGCGTGACCCTCTCTCGGGATACGGGACCGAGATTAATTAATCTCGGTCACGTTTCGCCCGGGACTTCTGGGCCCCCCCCCCAAAAAAAAAACTCTCGGGATACGGGATGTGTGCTTGCACTTCCGGCGGCCTCAGTCGAGCCTCCGCAGGCGGAGCAGCTCTCGTCCTGCTCCCGCCGGCCCTCCGCCGCGGGCGGCACGACAGCTCCTCGAGCCCCCGAGTTCAAGGACGAACGAGGCCCGACGGCGCCCACGGGCGCGGGCCCCCGGGGGGGCCGACGTCGAGGAGCACCGGCCGGATTGAAAAAGTAACATCGTCGGAGATCTGGGGACGAGCGGAATGAGTACGTGAATAATCTTGCCGTCGTTCGGACGTCCATTTCCCGTGCATTTTTCGGTTTCGTGCGTGTTTTTTTTTTTTGATCGATGGTCCAGGATGGTCCTCGATGGTTCTCGCCGAGAGAAAATGCACACGTCCGAGCGATGCCAGGTAGTGGGTACGGTGCCCAGCAGCAGCTCTTGTTCCCTTTGGACAGGACTCGCTGTCCACGCCCCCGCGGACGTTGCTCTCGGAAGACCAGACGCCGCCTGCCCAACAGCGGCCGCGGTCGGTTTTGGACAACAGTTGTTGTTCGGCATTGGGCCCATTTTTTCCGTACCCATTCCGGGCGTCCAAGATTAAGTCGGGCCTGTCCCCCTACAGGGGGATTGTCGACGAAAAATATAAAATACCAGAAAAATAACAAAAAACAATGCTCCAAAAATAGTCTTGGGACTATTTGTTGCGTATTGTTTGGCCTTTTTGCAATATGTTTGGGGTATTTTTTTTTAATTTGTCGTCGAAAATCCTTCTGTAGGGGGACAGGCCCGACATAAGTCCAATACGAGAGGCGGCGGGGCCTGTCGGCGAGGTCCCGCGCCCCAGCCGAGACCGCCAGCACAAGCTGCTGCGGCAGGGCCTTGGAGCAGCCCGGCCCGAAGCAGCGCAGCCTGGCGCACCGTAGGGCGAGGCGAGAGGGGGGGCGGCGAGGGAGGAGGAGGAGGAGGAGGAGGAGGAGGAGGAGGAGGAGGAGGAGGAGGGAGGAGGAGGAGGAGGAGGAGGAGGAAGGAGGAGGAGGAGGAGAAGGAGGAGGAGGAGGAGGAGGAGGAGGAGGAGGGAAGCGGAGGCGGAGGCGGGGGAGCCTAGGATGAGGAAGGAGGAGGAAAGGCTCGGATGCGACAGCGCAGGAAGGCGTCAGCCCGGCCGTCGCCGAGAGCGAGGAGGAGGTGCACTGGAGCTGCCTTCCGCCCGCCAGGTCGATATGCCTTTCCCGGCACGCATGTGCTATACGGGCGCGCCGGGGCTGCTCGATGCTGCGGGGGGGGGAGCAGGGCGTGGGAGGCGAGGCGCGAGGGAGGGAGGAGGAAGGAGGCGGAGGAGGAATGAGCACGAGGAGGAGGAGGAGGAGGGGAGGAGGAGGAGGAGGAGGGAGGGGAGGAGGAAGGAGGAGGAGAAGGAGGAGAAGGAGGAGGAGGAGGAGGAGGAGGGGAGGAGGAAGGAGGCGGAGGAGGGAGGAGGAAGAGGGCGATGTGAGACCTTGGGGAGCAATCCGCCGCTGCGGGGGGGGGGGGGACGCTTGGTCAAGGCAACGCTGCGGCGCGTGCCCCTCCCATCATGGTCTCCGGACGGCGGGGCTCGCAGCTCTCCGCGCCGCAGGGCGCCAGGCGGCCGCCGCACGGAGGGAGGGCGAGGATGGCTGGGAGGCGGAGGCGCACCTTGGGGGGAGGGGGGCAAGCAGAGGAGGAGGAGGAGGAGGAGGAGGAGGAGGAGGAGGAGGAGGAGGAGGAGGAGGAGGGCGGTGGCGCAGATTTTGACGATGCGCCCACGCAGGGGTCCAGCGAGAGTGTCTGCCTCACTGGTGGCCTGCCTCGGCGGGGAACTGCGGTCCCCCTGCGCTGGTCCACGGCACGCACCGCCAGCACCGCTCCCGCCGCCATCGCTAATGGTGCTTACGTAGCACCCCGCAGTTGCGGATAAGAGTGAGGGGGCGGCGGGGACGTCGGCAGACTGCGAGGCTCTGAAGAAGCCCGTCGCAGGCGCAGAGTTTTTCAAGCTATACAACGAGCCCGCCGCAGGCGCTGATTTTTTGTTAAATCAATGTGGGTGGGTCGCGGATTGGGTCACAAATGAGTCGCGGGTGGGTCGACGGTGGGTCGCGGGGTGGGTCGCGGGCCGGGTCGCGGGTGGGTCGCGGGCGGGTCGCGGGGGGGACGACGCAACAGAGCAAGCAGAATCCTCGAAAACGAAGCTCGCATTCTGTACACTGAATGGGTCGCGGGGTGGGTCGCGGGGTGGGTCGCGTGTGGGTCGCGGGGTGGGTCGGGGGTGGGTCGCGGGGTGTGTCGCGGGTGGGTCGCGGGGTGGGTCGCGGGCTGGGTCACGGGCCGGGTCGCGGGTGGGTCGCGAGTGGGTCGCGGGGTGGGTCGCGGGATGGGTCGCGGGTGGGTCGCGAGCGGGGTCGCGGGGTGGGTCGGAGGGTGGACGACGACAACAAGCATTTTTTTTACGGCCGCAGGCGGAAGCGCCAGCGGCAGGCGGTAAACGACGACAACAAAAAACGCAACAAGCAGAATCCTCACCAGGGATCCCCACTTCAGCCACGCACCCAGGGACAACGAAAAACCGTTCGGCCCCCTCACTCTGATACTGTTCCTTACGCATTCCCATCCTCCTCCCCGTCCTCCTCAACCACATCATCCTGAACGCAGTTGCCGTGATTATTGTAATATAATTCCACTCCGCCCGCATCCCCTCCTCCTCCTCCTCCTCCTCCTCCTCCTCCTCCTCCTCCTCCTCCTCCTCCTCCTCCTCCTCCTCATTCTCCTCCTACCCCTCTTCCTCCTCCTCTCTCGCCTGGTGCTCGAGGCGTAAAAGAGGGAGGTATGGAAGTGGAAGACAGCTCAGCAGTTTGCGCACAGCGTTATTTTCGGCATTGCACGATTGCGACAACGGGCCGCAGCCACTTCAACCCTCGGCGAGAGCAATCGCAAATAATAGGTTGGGATTATGGTGGAATGGGATGGATTAGAGGATGGTGGAGGTGGATCTGGAGGACAACTCAAGAATTTGCGCACAGCTGTATGTTTTCGGGCGCTGCACCCGGAACGCGACAACGGGTCGCAGCTACTTTAACCTTCGCTGAGGGCAGTTGCAGAAATAGGTCAAGATGATGGTGGACGAAGATGGGTTACAGGATGGTGGAGGTGGATCCGAAGGACAGCTCAACAGTCTGCGCACAACTTAATGTTTTTTCCAACGCTGCACTCGGAATGAGACAACAGGTGGCAATTACTTCAAGCCTCGGTGAGGTCGATCGCAGGGAATAGGTTAGGAAGATGGTGGATGAGGACGGATTGTGAACGCTAACGCACCGTACGTGTCGACCGCGGGCATGTTGACCGCTTCGGCCCTCGGCGAAGGCAGCCACAGCTTCGAGCGACGACCCTGGGTGATGGCACCCAGTCAACGAGACTGCAGTTTCAAGCGATGACCCCTGGTGAGGGCCTCCAGGAGGACGAGGAGGAGGAGGAGGAGGAGGAGGAGGAGGTTGGGGGGTGAGATCGCAATGAAACGGAGACCCCCCACCGGGAAATCGGTTTCGGTTTCGTGTTCGTCTCGCGCGTGCGGGCGAGGCGAAGCTGCGCGTGATCCTCCTGTAGCTAGGCCGAAGTAGGAGCGAAAGTCCGTTCCCGTCCGCTGGTGGCTGGGAGGTGTCCCAGTTGGGCCGGGCGGTGTCCCGGGTGTCAACAGGAGCGAAAGTCCGTTTCCCGTCCGCCGGTGACCGGGAGGTGTCCCTGTTGGGCCGGGCGGTGTCCTGGGTGTCTAGAGAGGGAGAGACAGAGAGAGAGAGAGGGCGAGAGCGAGAGAGAGACACAGAGAGTGAGAGATAGAGAGAGACAGAGAGAAAGAGAGAGATGAGATCAAGGTGACAGGCTGGAGGTCAGTCAGGGAGGGTATTTGATCTCAATCCCCCCCAACCTCCTTATCGCCCGCATGGCGGTCATATAGGTATGATGCAGGCGGGATGGGACGTAGTCGTGTTGACATCTCCCCGAGCAGCTGGGCGCAAGGGCTCAGCCCTGACGTTCAGAGGCGGCGCAGCAATCCGCCTCTGATGAAGCCGCCGCAACGCATGACGAGCTACCAGGGCCGGCACGGCTTCAAGGTGCACAGAAGGGCTTGAAGTTCCTTCAAGGTGCACAGAAGGGCTTGAAGTTCACTAGGGCATCTTAAATCTGCTCAGCAGATTCGCACACAGTGGGCATCGTTTCATCGGCCCTGGCACATTTGCTTAAGACGTCTTGAGCGGTGCAGCGCTGCAAATTGACGGGATCGCGGCGGGTTTTACGAGATGAGGTTCGGTACGTCGGGATGTGGGGATACGCTTGCAAATCTAACGATCTAACACCGCGCCATCGCTGGCTCTCCGCTTTTTTTCCGTTTCTTTCTGCACCTTTTGTGCCACTTGTTTCTGCACTCAAGCGGTTTTACTTTGTTGTTCCGCACTTTGCCGCGTGAACGCTACAACTCCGTTGCTGAAATCCGCCCAACGTCAAGCACAAGAAGAGGAGGAGGAAGAGGAGGAGGAGGAGGAGGAGGAGGAGGAGGACGGAGGAGAGAAGGAGGACGGAGGAGAGGAGGAGGAAGAGGAGGAGAGGAGGAAGAGGAGTTGGAGGAGGATGGGGAGGGGGAGGGGGGAGGAGGCCAGGAGGAGGAGGAGGAGGAGGAGGAGGAAGAGAAGGAGTCTGCTTCCGCCTCGGAATGGCCACGAGGCCAATCTGGGGCGGCTTCCTTGCAGCCCCGTACTTCTGGCTCGGTCTCCGGCCCAAGGCGTCGAGTGAAGAGGCACCATGCCGCCAGCAGCTATAGCAAGGAGGAGCCTGGGGAGGCGCACAAGGAAGAGAGAGGCGGGAGGAGGACGGGCGGGAACGGGATGGAGCTGGAAAGGGACGAGCAGAGGCGGCGGGGTAAGGAGAGAAGCCGCCCGGAGGCCACAGCTGTAGGTCGGGCGGGTCCCCCTACAGGCGGATTTTGGGCGATTTGTTTTTAACGAAGTCAACGAATATTCAAGCATGGTCAAATATATATATAATATATATATATATATATATATATATATAAATATAGAGAGAGAGAGAGAGAGAGAAAAATCGTCCCCAGACTAATTTTTGACTGTTCTTGAATATTCCACCTGTAGAGGGGCACGCCCGACTCAACCATAGCTTGTCGCTTCAGCCGGGACTCTCAGGTTTACCCCAGGGCCCCCGGGGACGTCATGGGCAGGCCCACCCAGGCATCCTCGCAGAAGTCCCGACCCGCTCCCTGGGGCCGGCTTTGCAATCGCACTCGCATCGCCAGCGGCACGAGAGCTGTCTGAGTTGTCACGGGGCGCCTTCACACCTCTCGGGCCGGGCGACAAGGGGGGGATAGCATAGGGGGGGGGTGAGCATCAGCTCACGCAGCTGATTTTCCCGGCGCCTCCCGGCGCCGGGAGGCGCCCACGTATCGAGGAATGGGCCCGGCGGCGGGGCCGAAACCGCGGGTCCGAAACCAGCTGCATGCAGCAGATTTCGTTCGGCCCGACTGTCTGAACTATCACGGGGCGCCGTCACACCTCTTGGCAAGCATCCGGACGCCTCCTGTTGAAAGCCGTGGCCAGCCCCTCCTCCCGAGCTGTTCTGCTGACGCTCCTGGAGGTGCGGCGGGGGCCCCCGGAGGCAGGACCCCCTCCCGCCTCGGTTTCTTGCCCACGGCGCCACCACGTCTGGGCAGGGACTTCTGCGTGGCGTCAGGTCGGGCATGTCCTCCTACGGGCGGAGTTCCTGGGCGAAAAGTGGACAAGAGCCGAAACAAGATTCCAAAGTAGCCGAAACGAGTCACCAACAAAAAAGAAGTCCCCTGACTATACTCACTTGTTTGTGGTATGCTCCCCCTGCAGAGGGACAGGCCCGACTTGCGACTTCTGCGTGTCGCCTCGCCGCCGGGAGGGTGTGTTCCCCTCCTCGTGCATCGCGCCTTAATTCGCGTTCGTATGCCCTGCCACTGCCTTCCCACCAGCGCAGTCACTCTGCCTAGCCGCCGACGCAAAAAGTGTAAGTGTGTGTGTGTGTGTTTGTGTTCGTGTCCGGCCCTGGCCGCTGTGTCATGGAGATGCTGTTGAACAGTTGTGATTGATGGCATGTTGATGGCGACGGCGGTGGCCCTGTGGCGATGGCAGTCGTGGGGGTGGTGATGATGATGATGATGGCGTCGACGACGGCTACTGCGATGGCGTGAATGGCTGGCGGTCGAACCGCGGTGACGAGAGGGGGGTGTCCAAGCGCAAGTCGAGCAGTGCCAGTGATTCAGAACAAACCCCGGCGGGGGCCCCCCCCGGGCGGCCATCTGGTCTGGGCGCAGTATGGTTCTGGTGGTGGTTTTGGTTTTGGTTTTGGTTCCGGTTCTGGTTCCGGTTCCGGTGTTGGTTCCGGTTTTGGTTTTGGCTCCGGTTCCAGTTCCGGTTCCGGTTCTGGCTCCGGTTCCGGTTCCGGTTTTGGTTCGGGTTTCCTTCTTTTTGCGGGGCTGGAAAAGACCCCTTTGGTGACGGTTCCGGTTCTGGTTCTCTGGGCGCGCGCGGGCGGCGCCTCAGCTGGCGCCGCCTGCGGCACTGCGAGATCTGCGCGTCCACCCAGCCCCGGATGCACTCCTGGGCCCCGCCGGCGGGCGCGGCCGCTGCTCCTCCCCCATCCTCCTCCTGCTGCTGCTCCTGCTCCTGCTCCTCCTCCTCCTCCTCCTCCTCCTCCTCCTCCATCCTCCTCCTCCTCCTCCTTCCTCCTCCTCCTCCTCCCCCTCCTCCGCCTCCCCCTCCTCCTCCTCCTCCTCCTGCTCCTCCTCCTCCTTCTCCTCCTCCTCCTCCTCCTCCTCCTCCTCTGCGGCATCCCCGGTTGCCACCCTGCATGGGTCACCTCGCGGAGCGCTCCCCAGATCTCCCAGGGCACATCCCCCCTCGAAATCAGAGGCAAGTCTTTTCCCGCGACGTGGCGGCGCCCCAGGACTCCGATATTCTAGGGTTCGCGCCGAAACTGGCGACTGCGAACACAAGAGAATTTGACCCCGTGGGCCGCGCTTCGCTCGCGCATCGACCAACACTAACAACTTGTGCTTGACTTCGAGGAGGGTTGTATGATCTTTCCCCTCCCCCCAGCGTTTTTCCTCGATTTCGGCTTCGGAGGGCTTCTTTCCACTCAAGCATGGTTTCTTGCACGGCGTGCCCCTCCCCCCCACCCTCTGCGCCGCCTTCTCAAGCAACGCTGGGCCGAGAGAGGGCGTGCAAAGGAGTCCCAGAGCTTGCGTGAAGTGCAGATTTCCTCTCGGGCCCTGCCACGCCCCCCCCCCGTTGAAGTAAACTGACGACCGACGACGACGACGACGACGACGACGACGACGACGACGACGACGACGACGACGACGACGACGACGACGATGGGGGCAGGATCGAGGGTGATGACGATGACGATCGAGGGGCTTGCTGTCGGGTCCCGGGACCATCAAACATGGATCTGGGACGAAAACCTGCCTCTGGGGAAGGAGTCGGGACTTTCCTGGGGCGCGGAGCTGAAGAATCATATCGGCGGATGTCAGGGCCTGAGGAGGGCCTGCTCGGGGAGACGAGGGCCCTCGTGCTGTCTTGGGGGCGATGGATCTCCCGCACTGGCTGCGTGGAACTGATTTCGGGGGCGGCCAAGAGGGGGGCGTCCAAGAGGGGGGGGCGCAAATCATGGCCCGCGGCATGTGCGCGGCCAAAGGGGGGGGGCCAGGGACGTAATGAAATACGAGGCACCATCAAGTATGGGGAAATATCATGGCCCACGCCATGATATCCCCCCCCCCCTAGCCATCACCCCCCTCTTTGCCGCCCTCGATAATTGGGGGGGTGTCTGGGCGGGTCTTCGGGGATTGCTGGGCTGTCATAAGCTCGCCTCGGTACCTTCTTGGGCCCACCTCGTGGCGTTCTGGGGCCCTCTGGGGCTGTCGTGAGGCCGTCTCGAGGCTTCCTGGGGTCGGGACCTCCAGGGACGCGGATTCGACGAAAAAACAAAGCGGAGGATGTCGGGGTCCGGGTCGGCCACCCCGGAGAGGGAGGGAAGGGGGGAGGGGGATGGACAGAAGGAGAGTACTTAGGAGTAGGGCCCCGAGATGAAGAAGGGGGAAGAGAGGGAGATGGAGGAGGAAACAGGAAGAGGAGGAGGAGGAGAAGACAGGAAGAGGAGGAAACAGGAAGAGGAGGAGGAGGAGGAAGAAGAGGAGGAAGAGGAGGAGGAGGAGTGGCAGGGGAAACAAGATCCCGTCCTCCTCCTCCTCATCAAGACGTTCCTCTCCCTCCCGCTCCCCCCTCGCGCCGCTCCTCCCCTCGCCATCCCGCTCGTCGCCACCCCCCCGCCGTCGCCCCCCCATCCGCCACTCGCCGGCCCTCCTCCCCACACCACCCCCTGCCCATCCCTCCTCCCCCCCCGCCCGCCCCCCTTTGTCTGCAGACAGGGTTTGTCGTGAGTTACATTGGCCCTGGCTACAGTAGGAGCTCGACCACAAGGAACCTCCCAGAAGAAACCCAGCCCTGAGACCCCAGGACGTCCATTGAATTTTGGGGTGTGAAGACGTCACGCTTTCCTTAGCAAAACCATCGGTGCCCAAGAAACCGAGGGCACCCTGGAGGCAAGCGGGGTGGCTCTTGGCATGGGCTTCCACCGTTATGGCTCTCTGCGTTCCCGCTCGACCGCCCACGAAATCGCGCACCGTCGCCGTGGCAACCTCATGGAGACATGGCCATGTATCGCGGGTCGCACAACATGGCCAGAGCCACGTCGGGGGTAAGGCACCATACCATACAAAGCCTGGCTTCTAGGTACCCCCCAGACACAAGGATCCAGAGGAACCATCTTGGGCCATCTTGGGTCATACCCAGCGGTTGCGTTGACCGTCCCAGGAGCCCGAGACTTGGGACAAACCTACAGGACCCCTTTACTCCAAGACTTGCTTGCTTCATGCTGACGTGCGCCTCGGGCGTTCCAGAAACGCATCCGGTGATCCTCTGACGGGATCGCTCCCCGAGCAGCCCGTTATCAACCCTGCCCTGGGCCTCCCGAGAGACGCCTCCTGCTACTCCTCCTCCTCCTCCTCCTCCTCGTCCTCCTGCTCCTCCTCCTCCTCCTCCTCCTCCTCCTCCTCCTCCTCCTCCTCCTCCTGCTCCTCGTGCTCCTCCTCCTGCTCCTCCTCCTCCTCTTCCTCCTCCTCCTCCTCCGCCATCTCCTCCGCAACATCCCCATCTTCCACACATGCCTCCTCCTGGCCCACCTCCACCTCCGCCTCCTTCTCGCATACCTCCCGTACCGAGGCTGCCTACCACGCCTCCTGCTGCTGCTGCTCCTCCTCTTGCCCAATCGTACCTCCTCATCCCCCTCGGTCTCCTCGTCATCCGTATTCTCGTGTCCATCACACACGCCGTCCGATATCCCGCGGCGAGAGTACGTTTCCATGTTGACTCGTTGTTCATGGCCGAGCAATTGAATTGCCAGAGGAGGCGCCTGTCCGCAAAGACCGTGCCCGTCTTCGAACAGGCCCTGCCCTTACTCGCGCAGCTTCGAGAGAGCATCGGCGATGCGGCGCGACCCTCCGACCCGACCTGATGAGGCACATGGTACGCGCGCGGGAGCGGGGGCCATATATTTTCCCCGATCTACTCTGACCCCATCTGAGAGGCCTAGGACTATCTTGTCCCCATCGTACTCAAGCGCCACATCCCATACATAAGTTCGTGCACCCAGGAAATTATCGAAACATTGTCTGCACCATACGCTGGAGAAATGTCGGCCGAGTATCGCCTCCCAGGGCCCGACACGTGAAATCCCTCCCGTTTCGGTACTTCTCTTGGTGCTCGGAATTCTTCCTGGTGCCCAACGCTAAAGTAGGTTGGGACATCATCAGCCTAGGATTAGGGCGGGCGTATCCTCCTATAGGTGGACCTTGAAGGAAAAATGAAAAATAGGCACAACAAGTACTCAAAATGATAGAAAATAGTCGAAAAATCGTCCCCGAACTATTTTTTCATTATTTTCGAATATTCCTCCTGTAGAGGGACGTGCCCGACTCAAGCCTAGGACATTGGGCCACCGCGCATCCCGAGGACCATCGCAAAGCCGAGGTGCGGGCGGCCGACGACGGCCCTGGTCTGGAGCGCATCTTTCTGTTCGCTGCCATAACGGGCGTTCTGGGCATGGAGGGGGGGGGGACGGGAGGGGGCATGGCGTAGCGCCCCTCCCCCCCAGACTGTGGTGCCGGACGCACGGCGGCGGTGACGGGGACGCACTGAGGGTGGGAGCGCTGCGCTATGGGAGGGGCGGGGGGCGGGGAGGCACGACGCGCGCCCTGGCGCAGAGGGTAGCAGAAAACCGCTCCCCAGGCGCCCCGAGGACCGTCGCGGAGCCGAGGCGCAGGCGGCCGACGGCGAGGGCCGGCCCGGAGCCCGAGAGGCGCGGCGACCGAGGGCGCAGAGGGGGGGCCGGCGCAGAGACGCGCGGGATGCACCGGCCCAAGGGGCGGGGGCGCCTCGCAGGCCGCGTGCCCGCACGCCGCCTGCCACTCCCCGGCCCACGCCTCACTCACCTCGGGGGGGAGGGGGGCCTCCCTCCTCTT